ATTGTAATATATAAAATCAAAAGTATAAAATAATAAAGTAACATAAAAATAATAAAATAATATATATTTTTTAATATAAATATACAAAATAAAATAAAATTAATAAAATATAAATATATAATTAATTGAATTGATGTTATGACAAGAAATGATTGGTATAATTTTCAAAGAATCAACACCCGGGTGCCATTAACAATCCCCATCATAAAATAGGAAAGCATCTTGGAAATAGTTTTTCATGATTGATTGATCTAGAGAAAGACTAGTTAAAGTGATAGATGACCAAATTGCCTTTCTAATTGAATTGTGGCCCAAATTCATGACAGTCGTCTCCCTTCTCCTCTTCCTCTCCCTCTTCCTCTCCTTACATTTCAACACTTCAAGACCACAAGAATGGATCAAGGCCGGTTTCTGGTACACCGGCAGCGAGTTCCCGGTGCCCAACATAAACTCGGCTCTTTTCACTCACCTCATATGTGCTTTCGCATACATCCATCCTTCCACCCATGAGCTGTTCTTACGAGACTCCGATGAGCCATATGTATCCTCCTTCACATCCACAATCAAAAGAAGCAACCCCTCGGTTACCCCACTTTTGTCCATATGGACACAGAATGGATACTATGCAGACAACGGGAATTCATCGGATTTTTTAACGATGGCTGAGAACCCCGTTTATCGGAAGAGTTTCATCGACTCATCGATCAAAATGGCTAGGAATTACGGGTTTGAGGGACTTGATCTTTCGGTATCTACTTTATTGAGTACAAAAGGAAACATGACCAGCTTAGGGACTTTATTCGATGAATTTCGAGCTGCTGTGGATACTGAGTTGACTCATGGTCGTACAAAACTGATATTGACCATGTGGGGGCATTACTCGCCTGGACTCGACTCGGTGAGTTACCCGGTTGACTCGGTATGCAGGAACTTCGACTGGGTGCATGTTAGATCATACGACTTTCATACACCTTTAAAGGATAATTTCACAGCCGGCCATGCAGCTCTATATGATCCATCTAATCGGGTGAATACGGATTATGGTATAAATGAATGGATAAGAAGTGGGTTACCGGCGAGCAAGCTGGTGCTAGGCTTAGCATACCATGGCTACGCCTGGACCCTCGTGGACCCTCGAGATAACGGTATTGGTGCACCGGCTAAAGGTCTGGCCATTACAAGAGATGGGTCGATGAGTTATGAGTACATCAGGATGTATCTGAAAAGTTACAGGACTAGTACGGTGTACAACTCGAGTTATGTAGTAAATTATTGCACAATTGGTTCATTTTGGATCGGATTCGATGCACAGGAGGCTATCAGAACTAAAGTTGCCTATGCAAAAAAGAAAGGGCTTCTTGGTTATAATGTATGGCAGGTCCCTAATGACTACAACTGGGAACTCTCCAAGGCTGCTGGTAAGTACAAAATATCATAAAAAAGGTTCCTATCTATTCACTATGGGTGGGTACTTCTGTTCATGTATGATGGCTATGTTTAGCAAACTAGCTAATAAGCCTGTTGTTGGCTGAAAAACTAGTTGATAAATTAATCATGTTTGATAGTAAAAACTATCATTTCTTCATCGTGATAAACAGAACCAAAAGTAGTTTGGAAGTTAATGTACATATGGTAAAACTTGCAGCACAAGAGGATAAATACCGTCATCAGAAGCGATTATTGGTGATTACTTTGTCCATAGTTGCTTCCATTATCCTGCTACTAGGTTGCATAATCTGCTACCTGAGGAGAAGGATCATATCAAAAGGTAGAACTTTTATGTTCCATGTTTATAGTTTACTATTAGCAATTTCCTCCATTCCTAGAAAAAAGTAAACAAAATTGACTTTTGTGGTCTTAGTTTAAACCTATTAATTCTCCAAGACATTTTATAGACATCATAAACTTCATCATCAAATATTGACGTCATCTAATTGAAAATGTTGTCTGATCAAACATTATCTTGCAAATTAAAATACTTGATATCAGTATCGAATTTGGAATTTTGTTTATTTGATCTCAAAAGTTGCATCATATTAACCACAAGGGTGGTCCCTGATTGGTTTGAGCTTGACTCCAAAGGTCAAAAGTACCAGGAGGTCCCAGGTTCAAATCCAAGGAGGAATAAAAGTTCCCTTGTGGCCATGGAGGTTCAAATGCGGTGACTCTGGGCTATCTGCAAAGCAGATGGTCGCCTTGGGATTAGTCGGCTCACATAGCGGGTTGGATATCAGGTTAATCAAAAAAAAAAGTTGCATCATGTTTCTTTTTCCCTTCTGCTGACTATAAATCAGAAGCAAGGACCGAATCTTTTACCTTGTAACAGTGAGGATAACATTTTCCATTTGCTTTAATAGTGAAACTGATGATGAGTCGAGACAAATCATCATCTTACAACCAGCAAGTAATAAGCTTTGCTGACATAAGGGAAGCTACAAATAACTTCTCAGAAGAAAATAAGCTTGGTGAGGGTGGATATGGACCCGTTTATAAGGTATTTATTTCTTTTATATCACGATTACCAAGTCCCTCTTCCTTTTTTGGTAACCATTGCTGTCTAGGCCAGCTTGTGCGCACCTCGACTATCCATGGGATCCTAAAGATAACAGCAAGGAAAATCCCAGTAGTCCTGAAGAGACTAGAACTGGCGACCTATGGAGAAGAGCCCCAAGGCCTAATCTTTATTTGCCAGTTGATTAACATAAGTCATCAGTATGACATGATTTTGTTACTATTTTCCCAGGGTTCTATCGGCTTCTTATTGATCCCATGGCTAAGCTCGTATGTATGTTTGTGATTTCACCAGGGAAGATTATCAAGTGGACAAGAGGTAGCAGTAAAAAGACTTTCACAGGATTCTAAACAAGGACTCGAGGAGTTCAAGAATGAGGTGATGATTGCAACGAGGCTACAACACGTCAATCTAGTAAAACTCTTGGGATTCTGCACAGAAAGGGAAGAAAAGATGTTGATCTATGAATTCATGCCAAATAAAAGCTTAGATTTCTACCTCTTTGGTGAGTATCTTTCGCATTCCTAATTATAAAAGGATTATATAAACCCACATCTTGATTCTTGGATTTTCTAAATTTAGTTTCACTAATAATATATGCATAGATCCAAGTAGAAGATCAATGTTGAACTGGGAGAAATGGGTTGACATAATTGAAGGGATAATCCAAGGACTACTCTATCTCCAAGAGTACTCAAGACTTACAATAATTCACAGAGATTTGAAAGCAAGCAACATTTTACTTGATGCTGAGATGAAGCCTAGAATATCAGATTTTGGGATAGCAAGAAGCTTTCAGAACAATGAAATTGAAGCAACTACTGATCGGATTGTTGGAACCTAGTAAGTATGCTTAAAATTTGTATTCCCCTTCCCAGAAAAGAGTTATGATTTGCAACTCAACAAGCATACGATACAAATCCATTGGATTTCAAACTACAGCTAGAAAATCTATGGGTGTTATTTTGTAACAAAACCGACGATTTTAAAATTTCAAATTATTAGATGCAGGATTCTTTAGACACTTGACTATTTCCTTCATGCAATGCAGCGGATGTGTTCCTCCTGAGTATATAAAAGAAGGCGTGTACTCAAGAAAATATGATGTTTACAGCTTTGGGGTTCTCCTTCTGCAAATAATAAGTGGGAAGAAGAACTACTATGTCTACGGACCACATCAAAACCTAAATCTCCTGGAATACGTAAGTTACTTCACCGGCTTATATCTTATAGAGACGACAATGATTATTAGGATCAATTCGTGTAGCGAATTTCATTTCGTTTCCCATTTCTATTTTGTGGATCCCATATAAATAAATCCTTGACCCTAAAATCTGGTTCACAAAAATGAAAATAAGAAAAGAAGCAATTGATAACAAGATTCAGCACCTCTTAAGAAACAAACAGCACCTACTACTGTTGTTTGACTCTAGACTGAATGATTCGCAAAAAGATATTTTGACTTTGAGAATGAACAATTTCAGGCATATGTTCTGTGGAAAGAAGGCAGAGGCATGGAGTTCATAGATCCTTCATTTGATGATGCATTTTCAAGATATAAACCAACAAGATGCATGCAAGTCGCCCTGCTATGTGTTGAAGAAAAATGGGAACAGAGGCCTTCAGTGTTGGAAGTTTCAGCTATGCTAAGAAATGAATATGCAAATGTGCCTATGCCTAAAAGACCTGCTTTCTCAACAAATAAATATGAAGAAGAAAAGAAAATTGGAACGACTGAAAAGCTCCATTCAGTTGATATTGCAACCATTTCCCAACTTTTACCTCGTTGAGTTGTATATATGATTGAGGCTCCCTCCAATCTTCATTCATATTGTTAGCTTTACGTCCAAATGTATAGTTGATGGCTTTTCCGTGATATGAGAATATGTGGTACGTCATCAGATTAGTCTTCAAAAGAGTCTTTGGCGTGAGAAAAGAGGTTCCATTGTAAGACTACGACACGGCCCCTCCAACAAAGGCTAGATCCTAGACGACACAGATTGTCCTCGAGTGTCAGGAGGGGACTAGACAGGTGCAAAGAGATTGCTCGAGTGTCAGGAGGGGACTAGACAGGTGCAAAGAGATTGCTCGAGTGTCAGGAGGGGACTAGACAGGTGCAAAGAGATTGCTCCAGGTGGTAAATCTTGGCTCAGATACCATGAAAATAGGTGGAATCCCATAAGATTCCTCTCCAAATGAGCCTTTGAGGAAAATATTGAGTAGAAATGGTCAAGTCTTTCCAACACACATCATTTTCTTCCGTTCTCCATTCTCAATTTTGCAGGTCCGCTTCTAAATTGAGATTATACCCACAGATAGGAGACAAGAAACAGAAGGAATTGGGCAAAAATCGAAAACAGAACAGGCACGAAATCTTTAAACAAAGCTCTATTACATTGCAACATCATTATTTTATTACACCACAAATTATGCTTTCTTTGGGAGCATTCAATCCACAAACCTGAAAAAATAAGAACAACAACAATATAGAACCCCAGCAAAATGAGGTTGAGTTTCAATGCTCCCTAAATCTACCGTGCTATGACGTACTTCCTATGGAAAATTCTAAACTTCAATTAGCACAAACAGCCGAATGCATTTGGATGCTTGTAAAAATTCAACAACCAAACAGAATCATGGCATATATAAAGGATGGATTGTCGTTTTATTAGAGAATGAAATGTAGATTTCAATATCCGTTAACATAAACCCTAACTGAATACAACAAATAACTTGATAAATCGTTTGTTTGAATTTACCTTCATCATGATAATTCCATATCTGGAACAACGTGATTTCATGAAAACTTGCAGCCTTTTGATCTCTACAATTAGCAACCTCCAACAAGATTGAGTGTGAGTCAAAGTGTTGGATGATCAAAGAAACTACACCAAAATCTATCCTCTTTGATCATCTTCAAGTCCACTGGTACCCTCTTTGCAATGACAACATTAATTGACGCTGTTTTTTTTTTTTTTTTTTTTTAATTTTGTAACTATAAATTGAGATCCATTATCCATACCAATATTATAGTATAAATTACATTATTATATTATAAATCGTTTGATAGAAACTTTAAAAAACTATTTTTTTATGCATGAAATTTTATTTATTGATACATATTACTTAAAATTCAATATTACAATTTATACTATATTATAAAACATTTGACAAAAACTCTTAAAAACCATTTTTTATGTATAAAATACTGTTTATTGATGCATATTACTTAAAATTCAAGATTACAAGTAATTTTACGTAAATACAACTTATTAAAGCTTTATTTTTAAATTCTTGTAGCTAACTGCAGATAAACATAATCAAATACAAGATGAACATCTATTTTAGTTATAAAAAATCTAAAATATAATTAAGATAATTATCGAGTTATAACAAAATGTTTAATTATTATCTTTATAAAAAATTATATTATTAAACCAAAAATAAATTACTTTGTTATTAAATGTAAATTAAATTATTATAAAAAAGTTGAATTAAAGAAGTTACACCAAAAAATGAGTACTATTAAATATCTAATTTGATACTAACATCGATTTACTTTTTTCAAATTTTTATGATATGTTCAAATTTATATTTTATTCAAAAATAAAATAAAAACATTATCGTTATCTCAAAACCACGTAAAATGGTATTATATCGATAGAGACAAAGAATAAAAACTAAACATCAAAATGAAGAGTTATCTCGCTGCATTGCGCGAGTACGCTTCTAGTATTAAATAATTTGACAAAAACTCTAGAAAACAATTTTTTACACATAAAATATTATTTATTGATGCATATTACTTAAAGTTCAAGATTACAAGTAGAACGTGCGTAAGTACATCTTGTTAAAGCTTCATGTTTCAATTTGTGTAACTAATTGTATATAAATATAATCAAATACATAATAAACATCATTTTTAATATAAAATATAATTAAGTTAATCATTAAGTTCTGACAGAATACTTAATTATTATATTAAAAATTATTTTATTAACTCAAAAAATAAATTAGTTCGTTATTAAACTTCAATCAAATTATAATAAAAAAAATTGAATTAAAGATTGCACAAAAACAAAAACTTTTAAATAGTAAATTTCATATTAATATCGCTTATTTTTTCAAAATTTTATAATATTTTCAAATTGATATTTCATTAAAAAAAATAAAAACACTTTCATTTTCTCAAAACCACATAAAATCGCATTATAACATCGACAGAATCAAAATATAAAACAAAACATTAAAATCAAGATGTATTTCGCTGCATTGTAAAATAACTAAAACATAAATTAAGAATAACATATTTCAATGTAAAACTATCAAATGCATTAATGAATAGAAACAGATAGATATATAAATATTTTTGCATCAATTAGTAATTGGGTTTTAATCATTATCTATACTACCTTATAAAGCGTAATTGATAAAAAGTCTTAAAAACAATCTTAAATGCATAAGGTATTTTTTTTTATGCATGAAGTCTTAAAAAGTCTTAATTAGAAGTCATTTATGTATATGGTACGACTCAACAATGTCTTACCATACTTTTAAGTTTTATCTTTCCCATATTTAGTTTGGTTCCCAATAGACATTGAAAATTTAAACCATCTACCCCTTTAAAATTTTGACCCTTTATGTTCCCAAGATTTTCATCTTACAATAAAAAACTCTCTTACCATTTCAAATTTAAAATGTAAACCTCAGATTTTTCATAATTCATGATTGATTTTTCCCAATCACCTCCATTGCCCCAGCTACATTCTTCCTCGCCTCCGCCATTTCTCGATGTCTCTCCTCTGGTCGCACCGGCACCCATACAACTTCCACACGTTTTTATACTTGTATAAAAGTCTTCCTTTGACTTTCCGTTTTACTACTAGGGTTTGAGCTAACTGCTTATTTTAAAGGTTGATATTTCGGAACTTCAGATCTACATTTACAATATTTGTATACATTAACAAACCCATTTACTTTTAAGGGTTTCTTTGATTCAATATATTCGAGATGAGTTGTGATTCGGGTCGAGTATCTTGCTCCACCGTTTCAGTCATTTGGGTTGTGATTAAGGGTATATGAATAATTGTAAACCTACTAAGACTGTCATTTTGGATGGATATATATTTGAATCTAATTAAATACAAATGTAGTAGGCTTTGTTACAACTTTAATAAATTTGATATCTAAAAATTGAATAATCTTAATGAGTTTTTACATCTCGCTGCATTGTACGGGTAGACAACTAGTCCAAACAGACTCCAGAGTGAGCCCTAAATTTGAGCCTATAAAACAGTTAATTTAACTGGGCTTAAAGCCTGGCCCAGTTATATGAAGCTCAGCAAGCAGCTACTATATAAAGGACAAGCCAAGCCAGCCCAACCCTAGCAGCATAAACCCATAGCCAAGCCAAGGCAAGGCGTGATCGTCTTTTGCCGTCCGAGCTCCAGAGAAGGAACAAGTCCGCCATGGTAATCTATCTCTGTTCAATTTGTTCAAATGTTGGATTTTTTCCTACGAATTACAAACCCTAAATGTATTTCTTCTCTTAGAATCAGTCAAAAGGCTGTTTGGCTTTGAGAATTCCCATTTTATGGTTCATAAAAGTGATTAATCGCTGAATATGATATGCATTTTGAGAATTTTGTAGTTCGTGATCGGTTCTTTTAGGTTTTCAAGTGATTAATTGCTAAATCCATGTGCTCACAGTCGAGTTACGTTATTGTACTAATTCTGTCCTACGAAGCGAGTTTGTTTTAGGATATAGAAGGTGTTTTTAAATGGCTTTTGATTGGATGCAAGTTAACAAAATTGTTTCATATAAGATCTTCAAAGCTGTGATTGGGATCATAAACTTTCTGTATATTCTTTAGATTCGGTTATGATAATGAAAAATTGTAGATTGTTGAAACCTTGTTTTCGGTCGTGACATCTGCATGTGTTGATTTGTGGTTCGAAACATGATCCTTACCCCTGATATCCTGACCATGCTTAGTTCTTTGGATCAAATTGCATGTGCAAATGGTGTTTTGTTTTGAAACATGATTCCCATCCCTGATATGTGTGATCGTGCTTAATTCTTTGGATCAAATTTCATGTGCTTATGGTTTGATTTGTGGTTTTGGAACATGATCCTCAACCTTGATAAGGTGACCATGCTTAGTTCTTTGGTTTACCATATCTCACCTCAATTCACTTTCATTTATCAATCTTGATGGTTTGATATGTCCATTTTGAAAGCCTTATTGCACTAATGAAGGTCTATATCTATGGTGGTTTATAGATTGTATGGAATAGACATTGTTCTAATTTGCAAGTCATCTGGAATTATTCAAAAGGTGGTTAATCTCTTGCTTTAAATGTGTTTATTTTACAGCCGTCACACAAGACGTTCATGATCAAGAAGAAGCTTGCTAAGAAGATGAGGCAGAACAGGCCCATTCCCAATTGGATTCGCATGAGGACCGGTAACAAAATCAGGTCAAAACTATCTTTACACTTGGAATTGTTTTTGGTTTCTTTTTTTAGCTCTCTGCTGACATGAGTTTAATTTGTTCAGGTACAATGCCAAGCGCAGACACTGGCGCAGAACCAAGCTTGGATTTTGAGGTGTTATTTTTGCGGTTTGTCTTATTCAACAGACTTGAAATGTTCTTATTTTCATTGTTAGCTTAAAAGAGATGCACTTAGGCTTTACTTTATCTGGGATTTTGATAATACCCGTGCTTATTGGCAGAGTTATTTTTAGTTTACCTTCTATGAACGTTTGAATCCTTAATGAGAAACCGCAATTGGAATCTGTTTCGGCTTCTACAAGTTTTGGTGACAAATTAGTATCTGAAGTTGAATGTTTTTAGCAAGGAACTTTATGAGCAGTGTGGTGTTTGGCTAATCTTTCAACGGTTGTGGCCTTGTAGTCACGATATTGTCTGATGATACCTTGTTCTTAAGATTGTGGTTTTTGGTTTGATTTGCTCTTGGTTTAGGGGTCCATCTTTGTTGTTTTGAAGGTTTCATCTCTGCCATGCTTTTGTCATATGTAGTAAATGTGGAGGTATGAAATTTGGTCTCCTGCATATCTAAGTGGTTTTTTGCTTTGCTACTGGTTACCGGTTAAAAGTCATTTATAACAGTCTAAGGTTGGATTCCGGTGAAAAGGGGAGTTATGGTGATTTTTTCTTACGCTTCTTACCTTAACTTCTTTTCTCACACGATACTTCGCCTAACAGTCTATTATAATACTTAGACCTTTTTAATGTTGTATGAAGCGATTTTGTTGTTAAAAATGGTCTGTTAGTTCGACAATATAATTCTATAAGAATATTTAATATGTTAACTATTTATTAAATTTAAAAAGCAAACTAAAAAGCATCTACGAACCCAACCGTGTCCAATCGATTTTGAGTTGCTACATCTATTTAAAATCTAGAGTAAGAGGCTCTTTGACATTTCTGAATGGTTTTGTGTAGAATCATTAAGTGGTTAGAATGATTAAAAGACTCTCATGATATAGTGTAAAAATGAAATATAGTTGTTTGATAATTGTTTACGATGAAATCGGGGCTCTTAATGGTTAAGGGAGACCAAAGATACAAAATCATTCAAAAGGTTTTAGAACCATTAAGAGATAGATTTTTTTTTGGCCAAACAAGATTCATCGCTTAACGATTCAGAAATTGTCTCTTAATGGAACTATTAAGAGGTAAACAAACAACCTCTATATGCTAATCATGCCAGGGACATTTTAGTTATTTTGCATGTTTTTATTTATATAAAAAAGATTGAGGTTACAACTTTGTAAAGCTAATATAGAAATATGTAGAATACTAAAAGAATCTAATCACTTGCGTCCGTTTGGTTTGTAATATTGTTTTTTAGAGATTTGGATTTTATAAAGGGATTTGGATTTGAATAGATTTGAAATCATTAGTGTGCTTGGTTTATAGGATTTAGAATAAAAAATTATAAAAAATTTACAAATAATTATAAGAATAATTAAATTACATTTTTATTAATCGATTAATACAAAACAAAGTTTCAACATTTTTTAAAACCTTATTTTCATACAATCCTACGAAATCCCGTGAATTCCCAAACACTCCTTAAAGATTTCAAAATCCTATGTTTGCAGTATTTCAATTAAATCCTAGTATTTCAATTTCGAACAATCAAACAAATCAAACATGAGATTAGAATGGATTTAAAATACAAACCCTTCCAAATCCATTCTATTTCTGCAAAGCAAGCGGGACCTAGAGATCCTTTAGTCCTCTGATATCAACTTGAAGCAACAACAGAGCATTAGAGGAAGGAGCAAGAGGATCACAAAAACAATGACAAAGATGATGCAACACTGAAAACGAGGGAGCGGTTAAAAGAAGGGGTATCAATGATTCGTGGTTTAGTTTAAGATTTCATAAATATTTTAAACACTTGTACATCTACTTTACAATCTTGTATGCTAAAAACTGGTATTTTCAAAAAAAAAATACAAAAATAATCAAATTACCCTCACATGACGAACACATAAAGACGCTTAATGAACAAAACCGAGACAATTTCCATAACAAAATACAAAACAAAACGACAGTCCTTATAATTTCAAAACTACAGGGATTATATCCACAATTTCCAATACCACAAGGACAATTTTTGTAATTTACTCTAAAAATCTAAAAAACCTAGTTTGACCAGGTCAACGAATAAAATTGAAGTAAGCAATTGGCCGAAATTTTGGTAAGAAAATAAAGGAGTACCGTTAATTCGTTATTCCCCCTAATGAATATTTGGGAGAGATGAAGAAGATGTTATTATAAACCTAAAATTAATAAGATTTTAGGGTTGGAAAAAGGGAAAAGGGAAAAAGGCTTTAGTGTCGATCTCTCTTTTCTGCCTCTGCTGTGTGCCACCGCTGCGCACGGTGGAGGAGTCGTCGGAAGAGGGATCATAATCGACCCAATTCCTTTTTTCCTTAACCTTTGATCAAATCGAGCTGATCCTCCTTTTCTTTTCTTTTTTCTTTTTTTTTTTTAACTTTTTATCGTATGAGGGTATAATAAACAGCCATTTAAAAATGGCTAACATCTCCTTGGACCAAATTAAACAAGTCGACCTCGAGAACATTCCCGTCGAGGAGGTGTTCACGCAGTTAAAATGTTCGAGGGACGGGTTGACGCATGATGAAGGCAAGAAGAGGCTCGAGATCTTCGGCCCCAATAAACTTGAGGAGAAAAAGGCAAATTCTTGTCTCTTGTTTTTATGTGTCTGTTGGGTTGTATTACGTAGATGGAAATAACGGGATGAATAAGAAATTGTCGTTCTATATTTGATATGACGTTAAACCTTAAATTTTTTTCATTATTCCATTGGATGTCTACATCACTTTCGCCGCTCCCATATCGTTTGTTCAACCATGTCCATTAATGTGAATAGACTATGGGGTTGTTTGGTTGAGTTTTTTCATAGACGGAAAAAAAAAACGTGTTTTTAGTTTGGTAGGGAGAAATTTACGGAAAAAAAAAACTTGGCCTTCACCAAAAACTTACTGAATAAGTCACTTTCTATATCCAAAAAACTTACTGAATAAGTCACTTTCTATATCGTTAAACTACTATGAAACAGTCATGAATAGCTGGTTGAATAAGCTCGGAGTCCCATTAAACTAGTTAAGCTACCAACAATTAGGCCTTATGAGTGCTTAATAAAATAAGTTTGGTGTTCAAGGGATTATTGCTGATTATTATTTGGTAAACAAAAAAAATGTAAACAGGAAAGCAAGATCCTCAAGTTTTTGGGGTTCATGTGGAATCCTCTTTCATGGGTGATGGAAGCTGCCGCCATCATGGCCATTGTTTTGGCCAACGGAGGTGATCGGCCACCAGACTGGCCGGACTTTGTGGGCATCGTTGTCCTTCTTATCATCAACGCCACCGTCAGTTTTATTGAAGAAAACAACGCCGGAAATGCCGCAGCCGCCCTTATGGCGAGTCTAGCCCCCAAGTGTAAGGTTTTGAGGGACGGCCGGTGGGGGGAACAAGAAGCTGCCATTTTGGTTCCCGGAGATCTGATATGCGTTAAGCTCGGAGATATCGTTCCGGCGGACGCTCGTCTCCTTGAAGGTGACCCTTTAAAGATCGACCAATCTGCTCTCACCGGCGAGTCTCTTCCGGTGACCAAGTATCCCGGAAACGCCGTGTACTCCGGTTCCACCTGCAAGCAGGGTGAGATTGAGGCCGTCGTCATCGCCACCGGCATCAATACCTTTTTCGGGAAGGCTGCCCACCTTGTGGAGAACACCAATACAGTTGGTCACTTCCAACAGGTGATCCAAGAATTTCATGCATTTTTTTTATTTAAAATAAAAGGTATTGAGGTACATCTTGATTTTATTGTTTTGTTTTATATTTTAGGTCCATCGATATTATAACACGACTTTATGTGGTTTTGAGAAAAAAAATGTTTTTATTTCTGAATGAAATATAAATATGAAGATATTATAAATTTTGAAAAAAATAAACAATATTAGTATCAAATTAACTATTTAAAAATTCTTATTTTTGTGTAATTTCTTTAATTCAATTTTTTATTATAATTTAACTGGAGTTTAAAAATGAAGTAATTTATTTTTTGTTTAATAAAATAATTTATTTAAGATAATAATTAAGTATTCTGTTAAAACTTAATGATTATCTTAATATGTTTTGGATTTTTTATATTTAAAATGAGATGTTTATCCTCTATTTGATTATTTTTATACGTAGTTAGTTACACGAATTGAAACATGGAGTTTTAATAATAAGTTGTACTTATGCATAATTTACTTGTAATCTTGAATTTTAAGTAATATGCATTAATATACAGTATTTCATGCATAAAATTTGGTTTTTAAGAGTTTTTGTCAGATGCTTTATAATATAGTATAAATATAGAGTAAACTTCACTTTTGGTCCCTAACATTTGTCATTTTATATCGTCTTTAAACTTTTTTATTGCTAGGTTTTGACCGCCATCGGTAACTTTTGTATATGCTCAATTGCGGTCGGAATCGTCATCGAAGCCGTGGGGATGTTTGTGTTTCAGCAACGAGCGTATCGAGATGGAATCGATAACTTGTTGGTCCTTCTCATTGGCGGAATTCCGATCGCCATGCCCACGGTTTTATCTGTGACAATGGCGATCGGATCTCACAGCCTTTCAAAACAAGGTGCCATCACCAAGAGGATGACCGCCATCGAAGAAATGGCAGGCATGGATGTTCTTTGCAGCGATAAAACCGGCACACTCACACTTAACAAGTTAACGGTCGACAAATCCCTCATCGAGGTTTGTTCATCTATCGACACGATGAGCCAATTTACCGTACCGGAAACGTTAACTATCATTAAACACGATGAAATTTAACAGGTTTTCGCGAAGGATTGCAGCAAGGACATGGTTATCTTGTATGGTGCTCGAGCTTCGAGGGTCGAGAACCAGGATGCGATCGATGCTTCGATCGTCAACATGTTGGAGGACCCCAGAGAAGCACGAGCCGGAATCAAAGAGGTGCATTTCTTGCCGTTTAATCCGGTCGAAAAGCGCACTGCGATCACCTACATTGATGAGAACGGCAAGTGGCATCGATCGAGCAAGGGTGCACCAGAGCAAATCATCGAGCTTTGTGACCTCAAGGGCGAAACTTTGAAGCGAGCTCATGAAGTCATCGACAACTTTGCTAACCGCGGTCTTAGATCATTGGCCGTGGCTCGTCAGACGGTGCCCGAGAAAACCAAGGAGAGTGCAGGTTCGCCGTGGGAGTTCGTCGGTTTACTTCCCCTCTTTGACCCACCGAGACATGATAGTGCCGAGACCATACGAAGGGCGATAGAGCTCGGTGTGAATGTTAAGATGATCACAGGTGACCAGCTAGCCATAGGAAAGGAAACCGCCCGGAGACTTGGCATGGGAACCGATATGTACCCTTCTTCTTCACTTCTTGGCCAAAGCACAGATGCGTCAATCGCTTCGTTGCCCGTTGAAGAGCTCGTCGAGAAGGCCGATGGCTTCGCCGGAGTGTTCCCAGGTAACATTTTCATATCTACGGTCTAAAAACCAGCTCCCACTACTAGAATAAAGACCATTTCCAGCGCATTTTCCGGCGGAAACTTACCAGCGGATTTCCGGTTCCGTGGGACAACAAAAAAGTTGACTTCCGCCGGAAATCCGCCGGTAAATGTATTCCAATAATATTTCCGGCGGATTTCATAATTACTTAGTTTAATCTTGTATTTAAATCTAATTACAACAATTTACCGGCGAGAAATTTCCGGCGGCCGTGATCCGCCGGAAAATGGTAAAATCCGCCGTAAAAGAAATCACCAGCTCCACTATTTCTCCGGCGGATCTCTGGCAGATACTGCCGCCGGAAATAGTGCCCTGTTTGGTCGTGTCCGGGTATGCAAAAATGATAGAAGTTTTGGTTTGACTAATCTACTCTACTCTGTGTTTGTTTGGTTTATATGAATTTTGGTCTGTGTAGAGCACAAGTACGAGATCGTCAAGAAACTGCAGGAGCGGAACCACATTTGCGGCATGACCGGAGATGGAGTGAATGACGCACCTGCGCTCAAGCGGGCCGACATCGGGATCGCGGTGGCGGACTCTACGGACGCCGCCAGAAGTGCATCGGACATCGTCTTGACAGAGCCAGGGCTCAGCGTAATCGTGAGTGCTGTTTTGACAAGCCGAGCCATCTTCCAACGGATGAAGAACTACACCATCTATGCGGTCTCTATCACAATCCGAATCGTGTTGGGGTTCATGCTCATCGCTCTCATTTGGGAATTCGATTTCTCGCCCTTTATGATCCTCATCATCGCCATCCTTAACGACGGAACCATCATGACCATCTCCAAGGACCGAGTCAAGCCGTCCCCTAGGCCCGACTCGTGGAAGCTCAACGAAATCTTTGCCACTGGTGTAGTCCTAGGAACTTATCTCGCGATTGTATCCGTTATCTTCTTCTGGCTTATGGCTGAGACCGACTTCTTCTCCGTAAGTAGTTAGTAATCCCATTTTCAATGTTATCTTCGCTTGCGGTTGCTTACACTTGATCGTTTTCAGGATCTCTTCGGTATTCAAACGATCGTGGGAAATGATAACATGATTAACGCTGCGCTCTACCTTCAAGTGAGTATCAACAGTCAGGCGCTCATTTTCGTTACCAGGTCTCGTGGCTGGTCGTTCCTTGAACGTCCTGGTACCTTGCTTGTCGTGGCTTTCGCTATCGCCCAATTGGTAAGTACAACCTTTCTTGATATACTCGCTGATGTGTGACTTTAACATGCCCTCGGCTAGACAGAGACAGTGCCCCATAGTGTCGAGTCCCTAGGATGGTAGACCCTGGTTATAATATCATCTGATATATGCAAAACCTGCTCAGATTACTTTCTAAAAAAGCACTTGTAGAAAGAACAGAGGTTCCAACCCAACGTATATGGAGGTTAAGATGACCGTGTATGACTGATGCAGGACTCTAACGGTACCATTTATCGATGCAATTTGAATAACGTTCTATCTTGAAACAATGCAGTTGGCTACTCTTATCACTGTATATGCAAGTTGGGGCTTTGCTAGTTTTGAAGGAATCGGATGGGGATGGGCCGGAGCGATCTGGGTGTTCAGTATCGTTACCTACTTCCCGCTTGACGTCCTCAAGTTCACGATTCGCTTGGCGTTGTGTCCTTAGATTTCATGGTCGATAGGAACCCCGTCCCAGATCGCAAAGCAGGCTAGGAGACGTGGCAAGGAGTAAATACATTTGAATACAATAGTTGTAATATAAGATATATAATAGGATGTCCCGTATCGTATGAGCCCAATATGAAAGGGGCTTTGTGATTTACCATGTCATAGTTCAAAATGATATGATACAACTGTCGTATTCAATATTTCCTTCTGGACCGAATCATGTGTTTTCTTTTTGTTTTGTAAAAAGAGCGTTTTTATATCAGGATCACGGATCATAGGCGTTATAAATTCGGGGACTACTAGTTCTACAATCAAATAGAACACAAGTGTTGGATGGTAAAAGTGAATGAAGTTCTAAATGATGAAGGACGTTTTTGACAACTATAAGCTAATTTATTTTGTAAGCTTATTGAAAAAGATCGGTTTGATAAGCTCAGAACATGTATAATGTCAGAAGCTTTTCCAAGAAAAGTGGGACCCACATCCAAAATCTGGCTTATAATTGGACAGCCAATTTTTTTTTCTTTTTGTTAGACTTCTAACACATAAAAATAACATTTTTATTAACCCGGATATCCAACCCGCTATGTGAGCCGACTAATCCCAGGACGACCACCTGCTTTGCAGATAGCCCGGAGTCATCGCATGTGAACCTTCGTGGCCACAAGGGGATTTTTATTCCTCCTTGGATTTGAACTTGGGACCTCCTGGTACTTTTGACCTTTGGAGTCAAGCTCAAACCAATCAGGCACCACCCTTGTGGTTTAAAAATAACATTATTACATATACCAAACAGAACAACATGATTACACAGTTTAATCATGCACGAGGGAATGGCAGAGAACAAGTTGTCGACAACAATGTTGTTTCCACAAGATCGAAAAATACATGATAGAAATGAAGTCGTTCATAAAATTTAACAAAAATGAATAAATATAATAATAAGACATCTTTTATCAACTATTTAACAATGAAATCGGTTACATATTCGACAAAACTGTTTCCATAAGAACAAAAAGTACACAAAAAGCTATCGAAGCTTCGATTTCGTGTGATTTGGACATCATTTGGAGCTTCAAGACTGCATCTACATCACAATTCACAGCATAACATTCTAAAGCCAAGCAAATAAAGCCATTTTTTCAAACCATATATCAACATTTCATGAACTACTAAACTACTTATGCAACAATCCTAACTTAAATACGTGAAAAAACAACATCGCGCTCATCATTTCTTCTGGGGTTTTAATCCCGAAAGAATCCTTAAAACATCTTCCATCGAAGGTCTATCTGAGGGCTTGCTGGTAGTGCAGCGAAGAACGAGTTCAAGAACCAGTTTTATCTCTTCTTTAATAGACTTTGAAGACGAAGAAGCAGCAGCCACTTCGTTTTCGTTGTGCATCTCATTCAATAAAACCTCTTTTGGTGTTCTATGAATGCTCACTCCACCATTTTTCCGCCTTCCGTTTGTTAAAATCTCCAGAAAGACCTCCCCTAAGGCAAAAATATCGTCATTTAGTTCATGTTCCATGATACCGCTGTATTCACCTGTCATATAAACATATAGAAAGATTAATAAAACACTTTATTTCAAACTTGTTCTTAAATACTTTTTTGGGCGCTCAAAAGCATCATATCGACTTATTGTAATATGCTTATATATATATATATATATATGACGTACAATTGTTTGGTTTATAAACTTAAATCATGTTATAAGTGGTTCATTATGACACTGACCGTCCTATAAAACCAATTATGTTGTATTGCCATAAACCATATCATGACTGTTTGGTACTTCTAAAGTAGAATATCATTGATTAGAATCGGCTTTTGTAGGTAATAATTGATTTCATACCTGTTTCCATTGCAGATATTGTTTTGAAGGCGAATTCAGCCAAATGGGGCTCCATATTTTCATCGAAAACTATGTTACTTGTCTTCAAACTTCCATGGGGAATTGAAGGACGACAATCATGGTGAAGAAAATATAGTCCCTTCGCGATGTTAACCATGAGCCTGTGTTTTGAATCCCAATCACACTTTCTTCCAATCTTTTCTTCCAAAGTTCCATTGGGCAAGTATTCTAGCAACATATAACCAAGATTCTTGTTGTAGCAAAAACCCAACAACCGGATCAAATTCTTGTGCCTTGCATTTCCTATTCGGTTTATGAATTCCATCAAAAGATTCGAACTTTTTGTTCCCCATTCAATCTTCCTCACTGCTACTGTCATCCCAGTTAGCAAAACCGCTTTGCAAACTGAATTTGATGAATATGGTGTTTCCACAGCTTCAATGGAGTCAAAACTCTTTAAAACTTCAGCAGCTGTGATTTCAGGAAACCCATCGAAGGAAACCATTTTCCAGTGGCGAGTTACATTCTGTCTCCGGTAGTAAAAGATCCCAAAGAGTGAAACCAAGAGTATAGCCACCACTGCACATAGTACAAGTACCCAAGCAACCTTTTGAGTCTTTCTGCTTCCCAATTCCATTCCATCGGATATTCCACTTCCACGACGGCAGGATCTCTCGAGGGGTGCACCACATAGATTAGGGTTTCCAAGAAACGAGCTACTACCCATTGATCTGAAGGTATTCTCTGTAGGAATCGAACCCGAAAGATCATTGTATGAAAAGTTAAGATATCTCAACTTTGTCGAGCTTCCTAACTTCATGGGGATTTCGCCAGAAAAGTTATTTTCAGCTAGATTTAACATTTCTAGACTCTCACAAATCGAAAGACTTTCTGGGACTGTTCCTGATAAATGGTTCTTGCTTAATTCGATCAAGAATAACGACTTACAGAACTTAAATCCAGGAAAGTTGCCAGAGATGTTGCAAGAAGAAGCTGAAAAATTCTGGATTTTGGGTAAAGACCATGTTTTTTCTGGGATGATCCCTCCAAGATCAGGATTATTAGACACACTAAAGTACTCAAGACTAGAAGCCTGAAATATCAGAGAAGGAATCCCACCAGTGAATCTATTCATAGACAAGTCCACATAAGAGACATCCCTAAGCATATTGAAATTCAAAGATAGATCGCCTGAAAAAGAATTATCTTCGAGCCGAATACGAACAAGTGAAGTACAATTGGAGATAGGAGAGAGTCCACCAGAGAAATAATTCGAAAAGAGGATTAATTTGGTCAACTCCCCTCCTGAACATATATCTGGTGGAATAACACCCACAAAATCATTTGTTGAAACATCAACCCATTTGAGTTTAGAGTGTTTACCCAATTCTTGTGGAAGTGTACCACTAAAAAAATTGTCCCAAATAAGAAGAGCTTCAAGATTTGGAAGCTTAGCTATGCCTTCAGGAACAGAGCCATTCATGTCATTGTACATGACACTTAGCAGCTTAAGGTTCTTCAAGTCTGAGAAACTCTCTGGAATAGGACCAAAAAGCAAATTGTCCGAAAGATCTAAGCTTGCAAGAGTCAAAATCCTACCGAATTCGACTGGGATCAACCCAGAGAGATTGTTTTTAAAGAGGAAAAGTGAGCCAAGTTTAGTTAAATTACCTAGTTCCTTTGGAATTAAACCTGAGAGATTAGCCTGAGCTATATCAAGATACCTGAGCTCACTCATATTGCCAAATTGCCATGGAATACTGCCTTGATAAGAATTATAACCGATCTCCATATGAGTGATGGTTTTAAGTTGCCCAAACTCTATTGGCAAATACCCACTTAGTAAATTGCCTGCCAGATGAAGAAACTCAAGATTCTTGCATGATCCATACTTGCCTGGAATGGGTCCACTGAAATAACTCCCAGCAAAGTTAAGAACTTTCACTGAGGCAATTTCACAAACATCTGGGGGTAATGATCCCGAGAAGCTATTGCTAAAAGCATCAAGAACAACCAAGTTATGAAGATTTGATATCCCAATTGGGAAAACACTAGAGAAATTGTTTCTGCTAATGTCCATGGTTCTCAAGCTAGTGAGATTGAAGATCCCTACTGGGAGTTTCCCAGAGAACGAGTTGTGGCTTATGTTGAAATCAATTAGATCAACAAACTGATTGAATTGATTCCCGGATAGAACCCCACCAAGATTTTTCAAAGAAAGGTCTAAACCCGTGACTTTTGTGGAGTTTTGATCACATTGTACACCCGTCCAAGAACAAGCATGGATTTTTGCAGATGGGTTTTGTTCTTGAGGGATCACCCAATCACTCAAAACATCAGACTGAACAACGAACTCTGATTTCAAGCTCAAGAGTGCTTCTGAGAAAGGATCAGCAGCATCGGAAACGGAGAAGATGAACACGAAGAGAAGGAAGCAATGAAGAATCTCCATGGAAAAGCTAGAGACAGAGTGAAAGAGGAAAGAGATTGGAATCCAAGAATTCAATTGGGTTTTATCTGTAATCGTAACTGAACCCAAATCAAAGAAAGTTAGGTCAATTTATGCTGGCCTTAATTATAATGGAGTGCATTGGGACTGGCAAAAGCTTAGGCAGAAAAGGAGGGAATGCGTAATATTGTTTTGAATTACTTTTGGAAGCATAATGGGGCCTGAAATCGGATAATAACACTTCAACTACAAATATTGTCTATCAAAATTCAAACCTTATATTATAATTTAAATACAAATACCGACAATAATCCACATGCTTCATGTGAATCGACTCAATGGAGTGAATTAGGGTCTTCATGAATTGAGTTCATCGGGCTGAAGACATTTGAACAACCTAATTTAATGCTTGCGGTTTGAAAAATCTTAACTCAACCAAACTCAAAGTGCAACCCAACCTAATCCGTACGGGTTGGTCGGGTTGGTTGGGTTGATATTTTGATACATTAAAATATTCTTTTAATCTTGCATATGTTATTTTTTTACTCATAATTTCTTTTCATTATCAACCATTTGATACAACTTATTCATACTTCTTACGTATATCACATTCAGTTAATTTTCTCCGTTTACATATAGATGTTGACATTTACAGAACATATATACGAATGAGTTATATAGAGATATTAATAGCTTGAAAATATGTGTATATGAAGAGTGTATGTGATAGTGTAACTGTCTAATGTATATATTAATAGAAATTCAACGATCATATTAAATCCAAAAATAAAAGGATATCGGGTTCATCTGGTTGGATTGAGTTCTAATAATAACAACCCAATATCTACGGTTTAAAAATTTTATGACTCAATTAGAGATTGGGTTGCTTCGGGTTGAGTTATTTCGCGTTGGGTTGTTCGGGTTGGTCGGGTTTTTGAACACCCCTAGAGTGAAGTTAAAGAAAAATGTACAATTTAAGGTATTTTTTCCGATAAGAAAGAGAAGTAATGTGAGAAAAGTAATAATAGATTTCCACTCTTAGATACACATCAGAATAAGATACCCCTGATTAATCCCCACCTCAAGCACGGTTCATGGGTGAAATTGAGATCAAAGGTGATCAAGGGTTCGGATCTCTTCTTACGCCTCTCACCTTAACTTTTCTTCTCACACGATTATTCGTCTTGTGAAATTGAATTAAACTATTTGCCTACATAATGTGTCTCCTTTACAACGTTTTGTTGTGAAGTTTCAAATGTAAAAACCTATCTCACAACAAGATAGAATTGTTTATCACATATTTCATGTGTAAGAGAAAATTATTTAATTATTTTTAAAATTAAAAATCAATTATTATTTTATATTTTTTACAAATACTATTCTTTAATATATATATATATATATATATATATAGAGAGAGAGAGAGAGGTTGGTTATTATACAAACATTGACATTTGTGCAACCAATACAACTCAATCTCAACCGTCCATTTCATTTTATTAATATGTGATTTCATAGAAATTTTGATTGTTTTCTAATATAAAGTATTGATCATAATTAATTAACCATATTCATCTTCCATAAATATTCAAATCATAGTAAATGAACTCCCATAATTTTCATAAATATCTCAATTTATTGGGTTACATTGGTTGTACAAATGCGATGAGTTGTATTTCAAACTAACTCTCTCTCTCTCTCTCTCTCTCTCTCTCTCTCTCTATATATATATATATATATATATATATATATATATAAGGAAAGGTTCAAACGAGAACCCCTGTGATTTACGAGAACGCAAGAACAATCCAATAACCTCATATTGTGATAAAAAAATAAAATTAAAAGATTTTTAAAATTAAAATTGAAATTTAAAAAGATTCAAAAAATATTAAAATTAAAAGGGTAATAATGAAAATGATATCATAAAATCTTTTAACATGGTTACACAATCATGATTATCATTATCTAATAAACGGTTAATAATTCAAGGAGACTTAGAAGTCGTAACATCAAATCGCAAAACAATAGTGATCGACCGTGATCGACCAAAAACACACGTATGATTATCACTATTATAACATCACTTGCGCATTCAATTTGATTATTGTTTCGATCGGTTAGGATTAGACAATCACACATTTATCACAACGATTACTCATGGTTTCGATCGGTTAGGGTTAGACAATCACACATTTATCACAACGATTACTCATGGTTTCGATAGGTTATGGTTACACTTGATTGATCATGGTTTCGATAGGTTATGGTTACACAATCACACAATTATCACAAGGGGAGAGAATAGAGTGGAAATGAACGTGCAGGAAAAAAATAGATAATTATGACTAATTAAAATAAAATAAAAATTATAAAAATTACTTAATTACATTACTGCACTTATTAATTTATTTATATTTGATATAAGTTAATTTATTAATTAAAAAAGTTTGAGATTATTAGGTTGTTCTCGTAAATCACAGGGATTCTCGTTTGAACTTCCACACACACACACACA